CCGCGAATAGCGTGAACGCTACACCATCTGCCCCACACCTCACTTCGGCAAAAGGCCAAATTAGTTAGACAGGAATCAGTCCAAGACCTGCGGTTTATGGCCTATATACCCCGCGGCGAGCCAAAGTCTCGTATGTATATTGTAGGCCCTCTTCATCGTCTCCGTTGTTTTTATCATTTTAAAAGGAAAATCCACATACCAAGCACATGGCAATGTTTAGATACCTCACATGATGATAGAGATGATGACGAGAACGACCAGCATATCGCAATTGCAAATTCTTAATTAAATTGAAATGAGCTTACTTGTACTTCTAGTCTTCTTAGCCGTCTCTCAATCACAGTATTCGCCTAGCTTTATCTAGGAATGGTCACTGAAAGCTTTCGTTGTTTTAAATAGAATCTTGTGAAGTTAAGTTGAACTGCAGTGCCTCCGAAATGAGGTCGAGATGCCGACTGGACGAAAGTTAACTGACAGTTAGACCCACAGGCCGATGAGCCGCCGCTGCCACCGCCATTGCGTTTTGCACGCACAAGTTGAACGAAACTTGAACCGTCCATTTGTACGTATGTCACCGACGGTCTTCGCGTCTCTTTCTTTCTGGCCCTCATCTACATTATGGTGGGTGACGGGTTGCTTCCGTATAGGCTCCCCGTGCTGCGGGTCATCAGTTGAGTCAGCTCATAAACAGCAGACTTGTCGGCGATATGGGGCGTGGAAAGCTACCCTCGATGATGGCAACAGGATTTTCTTTCACTGGTGTCACCATTGGAACTCAGTCGGACTTTGTGAGGGACTGCGACAGTGAAAAGACATCAGTGTGGCTGGAGTAGGTTACTCTGCGTTTTACAACGATGACCACTGGAATGCTTGGAATGGGGTCAGCCCAAAGCCCCAAGAGAAGATGGTAAAACGTCGTTTGTCGCTGTCGTTAGAAGGGCGACAGGCACCGAGAATGAGCTTGTGCGAGAAGATCTCACGCCCAGCGCTATCTTTCTTGTGGGCGGTAATAACAGGCAGAGTCCACTGACGCTGGTTGTGGACGCGGGACAGGGCACTGTCAAGCTGACAGTGCTAAACGCGAAATTCGGCCTAATTGGAGCACACAGGGTTCGCCGGAGAATGAGGAAGAGAAGGAAAGCCAAACGACAGCGAGGGTGAGGACCTGTCATTAGCGTATTAGCAGAAAGCAGTAAATAGGTCCCTCGCAGGGTTTGGCAGCGCTACTAGCCTGACCATCACCTCCACATTGAGTGGAAAATTACTAATAATCAATACTTGTGTTTTGTACGGGGTGAGTAGGAAGAAGATGTGGGATATGGTGGTTAATCCTCATGAATTAGAGCAAGGGATTAAATGACGAGGCAAAATAAAGAATGCAACAATGTCTGTTGTCCATTCGTATCAACGCACATAGAAAAAAACGTAAATTTGGGTGTTATAAGCGATAAATGCAAGTTTTATATCGAATGGTCTGATTATTTCTAACTTAAGATTGCAAAATACTAACGAGTCTGCAGAAGTTCAACTCCAACGCAACTATCGCACAATTTAAATCGATCTGCCTAAGTGGTCTAGAATGAAGCTTAATGGAAGTTAACTAAGCAAATGCTCTACTTAGCTACATATCAATCGCGGAGATCATGAAGCATCACATTTATCTATTCCAACTTCATCTGATAACTATCTAACTAGCTTCGTTATTAGTTACTATAACATCAGCTGTCAGCCAGCTTGAGATCTTCACAACGCTCATTCGAAGTCATTATGCCCTTAACTTATTACATTTATCTATTTATATGTACCTCGGTAAGTGAGTGTGTTAATTATGTTATACGGAATGCATTGAGGCATTAATCGTTCACCATAAAACGACATATTACATCTCATCTATCCTTATGGTCTGCAGAAACTGTACGGCATCAAGCGAACGGTGCCATTGCAACAAGTCAAGCACGATTTGGTTCACTAATAACATTTGTGCTTTGACACGATCATAGAACTTTATTGAGGTTTATTCCAAAAACAGCGGCGCAGTGTTTCATTAACGCTAAGTCATTCGCTTACCGACTAACGATTGTCACGGTGAAACGAGCTATAGAAACATGGACGACAATTGAGAAGGACTAGCTAGAGCAAAGGCATCGTGTAACTTAAAAAGTTCACAATGCCACTAAGGCATTCGTACACGGACATCGTTAGCTACACTTCCATGGAATACTATAAGCGATATGAGGAGTATATAAGTCACCGGTGATACGATGACCCCGCGGAACAACTACTGGAAAGGGTGCGCGAAGCAAGAAAGAACGATCGCGCATCTTCCGCTTGGCATTTCGAAGAGGCATCAAACGCAGTGGACAGAGAGGCTTGCCCCTAGCAGAGTGCCAGACTGCATTTGAATGGCCGATAGCAAACAAGCATGTCGACCCATTGGTGCGCCTCGTCAATGGTGCTCAACAGAAAGGCCGGTGACTGGCGCTTTTGTCGCGTTCTTTCAGAACGTTTTTTTCTTATAAGACTGAGGGGCAGCGAGAACATGAATGCGGATACGGTGTCAGGCCTTGTGTACCCTGCATTTAGTCTCTTGACATGATCTCAGTCTATTCCTCCTTCTGGTTCCCGTAGCTATAGCTACAGCTGCGGGTGCTTCTACGAGCGGATGGAGGAGTAGCAAAATGGCACCGCCACTGAGTTTAGAGCAGCAGAAATAAATAGGTCCTAGAGGCGACGCGTTCTAGAAGCATTTAGAGGCGTCATCGTTCTGCGTTCATATAGAGCAGCACGGTGACCCGTTCCTGGTCTTTTTCTCCCGACACATTTCCTCGCTAAAGAGACCTGGAAATGGCGAGACCAGCTGACAGGCCGGATCTTGGCGTATATCATTGCATATTTTCCACTCGAATAGATACTGCGATTAAATTTAAGGAGAGTATGAAACAGCCGAGAAGTGACAAAGTTTTGTCGAGACTGAAAAGCTGCTCGTAACAACAGCCTTTCTCGCAGAGGGTACTCGTATTCTGCGTTATCTTATCTTCCCTATTAAACTCAAGATATAGCAATAATAGTGAGTTATGAATCGCTTGTCAACTCGAGGTGACTGATCAAAATAATGAACACTACGTGCAACACTACATTGCAATTAGGACAAGTTGTCAGAAGTCGACTTCAAAGAAAGCGGCATAACCTACAATAAGATATCGTCTGATCTTTAGCTATACTCAGGAGCGGGATCGCATATTAGAGAAAAGTACAAAACTACAAGAGCATTATTTGAATTCGTTGATGGAACCGCCGGTTTTCTCGCACAAATCGAATCGTGTGCGGTTATGGTATAAATTTCATAGGATAATTCGCTTGATTCATCATCTGAGGTTATCTGAATATTATCATCATCTGAAAATCATCTGAGGTTAGTTAAAGGAAAACATCGACTTCCCTGAGCGTCCAATGTTACTGATTAACTACGCGTGCCTCTAGAGCTGTCCTAGATAATCTATCTGTTCTTTTAGTCACCGTGAGCTAGCCGACGACTTAGCCGCACCAGTGGCAGAAGGTACTGCGTTCGAAAAGCCAACGAAATCTTTTGTGAAAGCGACATAAGACACTCTAAAACGTTCTTAATTTCAAGCAGAATCTGCTCGTTTATTGGTCCGAGGCACTCGTTATGGCCTTACACCTCTACTTATAAGCACACTGAAGTAAAAGGCGAGGCAAATTTAATGGCGGAAGGTTTTGCGTGAATGGGTGCATTAATACATAGCATGCTCTGAAATCTGATAGGAACTCGAAATGATTTTGGTCGTTCACAGTATTCTATGATGATAAACATGTCGTAAGGACGTGTCTAATAGAAGAGCCGATCATGATATGCAAGCACGCATCTGTCCCTTTCTGGTTTTTCGTAACTACTGCTACAGAATTTGAGTTTTTATTTGTTTCAGGTTTAGGTTTAGCAAGTTATGTAACTCAGTTAACAGTTCGAAAGATTACAGCGAACTTGTGTAATTTGCAGACTCGACTTGTGTATTCATTTAGTGGCATTATACTACGGGGCAACGGGCACTGCTTGTCAATTGAGCCCCGTTGACAGTTTGCATTAATGATCGAATAACGCGGGGCCGACGGAACGAGCCCGGGAGAGCGTTAATGAAAACAAGCTACAACAGTGATTGACCATGAAGAAATCGTGTCATCGAGTATAGACAGGGGTACATGTACTGACGTAATAGATACGCACGAACATGTATGTCCTTTAATCAAATCCCAAAGCAATGTCAAGGGGAGCATGTGTGCTCTCAACATGCAGGTGACGCGTGTTCAGTTCACTATCGAGGGCAAACAGTGAAAAATCAGTGCCGTCATTGCACTAGTGCCGTCATTGCACTAGTGGCGCCATTGCACTAGTGGCGCCATCTAGCGATAGTAAAGAAATGGCTGAGCCTCCTGTATTAGGAGGAGGATAATCAGTGCGTGAGTTGTTTTGGAATTTTGAATCTTTAAGACTCTCCATTAGCTGTTCTCTCATAGCTGGTCTTGTCTAGCGTGCTCGTATCTGCATGCAACATCATAGACATTGGATCGCTTGTCTTGTAGTTTGATTTGAGGCAACTGCTGTCATACCTTGTCTTCTTGGACGCTTTTGAACGAAAATACGCGACTACTATATTATAATAACATATTAGAATATTAACAGCTTACCGCCAGCTATATACCAAATGGAACAAGAGTTCATCGCAGGAGTATTTGACCATTAGCCCAAACTGCTATAGAAAAAATCCATCTACAACAGCAAAAAACCTGGCGTATGATTAAAGGATAAAAACTAACAACGTATCTGTTATCCCCGTTACTAATACGATCGATTCAACAATATGGTCCATAGAAACAATTGGAAAAAATCTGTACTTAACGTTGTCATGTGTGACATCACTAACTTAAACAAAAATAGCTGAAAACATAGTTAGAAAATTGCATATATCCGTAATCGGATATATTACCATCAGCATTTGTCGAGCAGATAGGCCCTATCCAAGATCCGTTTACGCAGGAGATCTTGCACATACGCTGTTGACCGTCGCTAAGAAGCCCAGCAAATAGGATGTCGTTGACCCGATCAAATGTGGCCTCGTCGCCTGGCTGTGTGGTATCGTTAAAACGAAGCGATGGCGTTGGACACCAACCTGTATTACAGGAAAACAAGAATAACCCCTTGAATATATTAAGTGTTTTACTATAAGGAGAAAAAAAATTTGATACATGTTTTATCTAAGAGAAGTGTTTTTATTTATACGTTTACTTTTATTGTTTTAGTTAACAGTTAGTTGGTTTGTTGACAGTTGTTAGTCAACAACTTGCCAATTTAGGCACAGGCAATTTCCAATGTAAGCATTAGGAGAACTTGTAGGACAACAAAAGGGACACACCGAACGAAGGTCTGTTCGGGGCTGTCTGTGTTCAGAGGCCATTTCATGCTACTACTAAAAACAAAATTTACTGAACTCGTCCAAACAGTTAGTGTCGTTTCATTAGTAGTGGTTGTTTAAAAATAATAAATCAATTATATTTGTTTGTCTAGAGAGGATTATATAGACCGTTTTTATTTGCAATTTCAGATACTTACATTTTCTTTGTTTGTAAATATTATATAATTAGAAGAAGTAGCAATGATTAAAAGAAACTATAATAATATTGATGAATATTTATCGCTACTTGTATTATATTTCTCGATAGTATTGACAGATCGAATGGACATTTTTGGGATGAACAAGTGTTCCACATCGCAATCGAGCGAAACGAAGGATTATATAATTAATAAACGTAAATATGAGAACCCTCAGCCCAACACTGTGACCGATACTTATTAATTATTTTCACTAAAAATGAATAAAATCCTACTGAATAGCATACTCCATAGTTCAATATCGGTTACATTGAAACGTAACTGTCGTGCGGCGGAAGAGAACCGATATTAGCATCTACCTAAACTTTTTTACGTATCGGTGTTGCATAACGCCGAGAAGAATCTATCGGTGTACGGCGAAAACTATCTGGAACACAATCTGTTTCCATGGAAATACAACCGTTGCTGGTCAGACCTAGAAATCTCCATGCGTATTGCCCCGGGAAGCTTTGAGTTCCTTGCTAACGTTCTAAGCGATGTACGAGCATTTCTACGTGTTCGACATATTCTTTCTCTCGCTTTCACAGTACAGTTAGTTTGTAGATGTTTCCAGTAACAGGCAAATTGTTCGGCCCTGCTAACAAGGCTGACGCCCGGGTTTTTAGTCTTACCTTAGAATAGATGCAACTACCGCAGGTACAGCTAGCTTATGGCTATCTGCATAGCTGAACAATGTGGCAGCCGAATTGCTGAGCCTCTTTGTCAGACACAACGTACACTTCCCCCCTCCCGGGTCGCCCCAGCCCTGCTACACACATTTGCCTTCAACCACATATAAAGCCTATTCGAGTATCCGTAGATACTGACCCATGCAGAGAACGCAGTGGGCAAGCAGGCAGACGGAGACCCCGGCCGGGCCCGCCAAGGAACACGCCATGATTTTACGAAATATTTCCCCGGAGACTAATCCACCGGGTTTAGCTGGCCCGTGGCCAGCAGGTTCGCAGGTCCTGATGCATCATCGTTAGCCTGTTTCCGACTGACCCAGGGCATTCTGGTCCTGGCGACCCGGTAGCCCATTGAACGAAGGCGAAATAGAACGCATACTATAGCCGGTATATACTATCGCTCTCGGCGAGGCTTCCGCTTGATTACGGTTCTCTGGCGAGCCATTGAAGGTGCGAGGTACTGACGCTGTGGGACGACAAGAAAAACGACGAACGGCCATGCTGGCAAGGCAAATGTCCTTAGTCAATAGAACAGAAGATATGAGCTGTTTTGTGATGGCAAACATCGCGAAGGCGGCCACCATTTCGTTGCGGAGTTGCTATGCGTCGGCGGTCCAGGAAGCTGGGTAGGGAGGTAGAATCCGCGGGCTTGTAGCGTCTGGAATCGTTTCGAGGGCAAAAGTGAGACCTGTCATGCCCACACCACCATTGAGAAGTCATGCCTATCCAAAATAGACGGCGACGATGGGGCTAGACCTCTCACCTATGAGCGCAAGGCCGCTGGCGTGGCTCCTGTCGCATGTCCTGTCGAGGTTATGTCGCCTCTCGGTTTGGGAGTACCCTTGAAACCGTGCAGTCTAGGAATTGATGCAGATCGTATCTCATATCGCAAAACGAACAAAACGTCCTGCTCGCCCAAGCCCTTAGTCTGTGGAGGAATGCGTTCATTGACGTTTATGCAATGGTATGCTGAAAAAGTAAACGATCAAACAGGTGGGTCTACTTAAGGTGCTCATTCAAAAAGAAACTAACACTATTGACGCTGCGGACTATTTTGGCCCTAGGCCCTTGTTCTGCAAACTGAAGTATTTTGCAAGGCTTTTCTAACGACCCTATTCGATGAAACAGTTGAGTTATGGTCACCTAAATACTTATGAGAAGAGCTGAGGCTTACTGTAAACTGGGGTGTTCACCAAGGTATTGCCGAAACACACAGAGACTTTGCATAGACACATTGGGGTTGGAACTGGGAATGCTCGAGTCTTACCCTAAAGATGTAAATTAAATACATCCTGGACCAGTTTTCAGTATATGTATATATACTATTATCCGGGTGCTTTCAATGTTATTAGAGTTACTTCTGACTAACTAGAAATCCATCTACGATGCTCATCTCATTGTAGGCTGCCACCGGGGCATTGAACGTTCGCTCTAACACGCAAATCTTCGAAACACGATGAAAACGATTCTCAACGAAAGTTTTTGGGCGTCTAATTATATCGAATGGGTATTTAAATTCACTAACATCGTATATCCACATGAATATCCAAGGTTCAAGCAGTGTTTCAAAGCTACGAACATACACGTGTTTATAGATGATATAATTTAGTGAAATATTGCCAGACGCTGTTTGCGAATATTCCAGAAAACCTTTAATATTTGCAAGTTTATTTCTCATAACAGGAGCTCGGTCCTTTTTTTTGTACTTGGTCGTATTTTTCATAACAACATCTCGCCGAAGGCGCACGTTTCTGAAAAACTGCATGCCCCTTCAGCGCACTGCAATTAAGCTCGAACGAAAATGTCTTCTCGGAAATCACAAGCGCTATCCTATTCATGCATAAAATAACTTTAAATTAATGTCGGAACCCTTAGTTAAAGTATGTTAAGCACAAGCAGGAAACAAAACTTGGATAGGTCACACACAGGTAATGAAGAATGGACGAAATCGCCGCAAGTACTAATAGGTAGGCAAAGTTCTAGGGCGGCGAAACTGTACGGTTCGGCAATGTGATGTTATTAAGAAGAGACGCATTATTAATTGTGAGTTCTCATCAAAAGCACGGGTCGCAACATAAAGCTTACTGACTTCCAGACGCCGGCGTTTTCCGTTTCGGATAGACCAGCGAAAAATCCTACGCTGAAAGACCGCCTGCTGTCGCTTGAACATTCCATTCGCAGATAAATAGGTTTAATTCTAATGATCTCTTTTCGTATTGCATGTCAAGACCCGTACTGTTTCTCTGGTTCGTTGCGGCTCGTTGACCACTTCAGCTGTCGTCACGAATGTTCCTGATGATTGACGGCCTGTTCAACAACGTTCCGCATACCACGTTTTCATGTTTCGCACGGCCATCTTCGTCCATTCCGCTACCATCGCCTCTGTCTACGACCTTGCAAAAGATCGCATTCATCACCGTAAGTCATTTTGTCCTCATAACTCGCGAACTCGTCGTTGCTTGACATAATAGCTCGGTCTGCTGCCTTATAGAAGGTCGCAGCTTTGAAAGAAGAGCTTCTTCACTGCACTACAGGATTAAAACAATTACAGGGTTTAGTCACTTTTTACAAATTGCAACATGTAAAACTTACTGAACTACAGGTCTTTTTCCGAAAAATCTCGGGATTCTACGTTATCTCACGCCGTGCTCCGCTACCCTCGACCATCTCTGCCCGTTCCGCTGTGCTTCGCGTCTCGGGCAAAGACGTCTTTTGTTGCTGAATGCATCGCTTAGTGATTTGCACAAGCGGTTTCCGCACTAAACGACCCCAAATAAGGATATGGGACGGGCCGCTGTGAACCGTGTCTGCCGACTTATATCGTGCGGTGGGCGTAGCATAGAAAGTAAGGCTTAAGAGCAGCGACAAATAAATGGCGCGCAGACGATGTCTTCGTTGTCATCTATGGCGCACGCAAAAATGTTAGTGAGCCATGTTTCTTTTTCTGTTGAAAGCGAGGGAGGAATGAGCGCCCGGGGTCACAAAGGCCAAAGGAGTGCGATTTGTTTCAGAAAGAAACAGAGCGACGAGGTGGTAGCTTTACCCCTAGGGCTTGAAGGAAATTTAGGTGCCCTGTAGTTTTGGATAGTAGCGGCTAAGCAGCCGAATAACTTAGCCTTCCTGGCCGAAACAAAGGACAATTAAAAGGAGAACTAGAAGAAAATAAGGAAGATCCGCGCAAAACTAGCCTAGCGCTCAAGATCTTATGTTGTGATTACATTCCTCATATTGCACGACGATAAGGCCGAGCAGCGATGAGATCCCAACCGCTACTGGTAACGAATAAAATGATAGGACGTCGCCCTCCGCGAGGTTGCAGATCTATAGCGGTGTCATTGATTCTCATTTACCTTTCTCAAGTACATGCACACCGAAGCTTCTAGTAACTGCACACAATCATGCAGGAAATGGTTATGAAGACACGTGCAAGAACCGATGCCAAAACTTTAATACGCGAGAGAAAAAATAGTGCCGCGTATGTACACGAACAGTTTCACAAATATGGTAAAAACGCATAGGTACGCGAGAAAATGTAGCGTTCGGGGGCGGAGGGGGCGGGATAGAAAGACAAAGTGTGTAACCAACTTTTACTTGTCTACTGGATACAAGTATAATGAAACACTTTCTATGTGCGCTTTAGGATACGAATATATAACACGGTGGTCGTCTATCTCTTCGAAAACGAGCAGTAACGTCTTTAAGGTATCCCTTTGGCAGAAGCAAAAGTTCTGTTGCTTTTCAGTTTTTCTCTTTAATAAAAGTTGTGGGTAGATATAGTGTGTCGCCGCCGTGGCCTTATCGCGGTATTTCGCTGACTCAATTTTCAAAAGCCTGTAAGCCCCTCTCAGTCTGGAAATAAGAATGGCTGCGAAGATTACGGAGCTAGCTAGTTGTTTATCATTGTGGGCGGGCTTCTCGAGCACCATCTGTACGACCAAAGTTTACAATACTACGTGAACACTATTTTCTTTTTTGCACGTTTCGTAAATTATAACTAGTCCTATCCAACCTAAATTTTTGTACTGCGTAAATAAGCCTTCGTCCGTAACGAGTAATGAATATTTTAATTTGAAAATACACGAGGAAATCGATGATCGGACATTTGTTATTATTTTCTCAGTTGTTCTACGAGTTGCCCGTACTCAGGCATAATAGGCCCATGCCTATACAATAAGCTGGCATTTACTTACAGTTAAAGAAAGCCTGTCATCATATAGCTATAAATAAATAGGGCTGTATCATTACATTGTATATGCTGCAATACAAAACGTATTTATTAGATTTGTTTCCTTATTACTTTGAACTCTACGAAGCTAGACAGTCCGTACTCCTAAATTATTATTTGTGTTAAGGTATGTGATATCATGTATATCGGCTCCATGAATGTCAACATTATTATCTACGTCGATATATTTCGACTAAACTATATAAAACTATATACCATGTTCTTGTGTTTTACCTAAGGTATTCAAGCCTATTTGAAACGGTTAGCTCCCATCAAAAAATGAGGTGTGCCCACACATTAAATTCCCATAATTTATCTGGCAAACACGTTACCCTCTGCTTTATCACAAAGACATACCAAACTACATTTTTAGCCTATTTATGTAGCCATTACGGTTGCAGCTCACGCTAACTTAAAGATGGATATTTTAAAATATAAAAATGATTTGTACTATCTCGTTGTATATATATCTGTCACACCACACAAACTAATAATTACATGGAGTTTCAAATTTTTGGCTGTGAAGGTTAGAAGGCTGCGCTTCGAACGAAGCCGATTTCGCTTGAAACCCACCGATTTCTCAATGAGTGCCTTTTTACTCCTTTGCTTATGTTCAACATCCTTCATTTTCGACAATCGAAACATCTAATACCGCTGAGCCGGCGCGGCTGCCCTGGACGCTTATGTCAGGGCAGACCTCAGTGTAACGGACGCATGAAGACCCGTCAGATGATAAACCAACTAACCGTTTCGTCGATCGTTACACGGATGACTTGGACAGGTAAGAGTGCCCCGTAAGGTGTCGTGTGTTGCCGAAGGACAAAAAATGGGACAGTAGTGAAAATTCCATCTTATTTTTAATAACAATTTATCTAAGTTAGTGGTTTTTCGAGTGCGGAAGCAGATGTTATAACGATGGCGAATCTGATAAAAACGATTCGACTTCAGATCAGTTCGCCTCCTTCGGTTTGCTCTCCCCATTGTGCTCTAGGAAGCTCCGGTGCTACTAGACAAAACGAAAGCACACGGAGTGCTCTTTTTCCTGTACTGGTTCGTTCCGTATTACAGCTCAAGCACCACGGCAAAAGGCAAAGAACACACACAGAGAGAGAAAGTGAGAGGGGGGGGGGGGGGGGACCAAAAAGCTCATCTAGGAAGTCCAATACATTAAGCGCACTTCTGCGCGCAAGTGTGTTTCTGGCACCTCCTTCACAGCTTTTTTTCTGACTCGTTATCTGTTCCGTGTGTTGGATGGTCATTATAGGTGTCACTTGTGCTCAGCCTGCAGTCTTTGGCTACGCCGTATGGTCTCCAATCGTCTTCTCCACTTAGCACACCGACTGTCTTCTAATGCCCGAAACGCAGGCCAATCTTGTCTATTTTTTTTCTCTCTCACTTGTTTGTTGTTGAACCTGCGCCAGCTGCATCCCTAACCATAGCAGCCTTTTCGAGTTTCTACCTAGAACTTTTTCACCGTATACGATAGCCATCTTTTTCAAACCGTTTATGATAGCCATCTTTTCAAAATATAACTGCACCCACTAGCGATAATCCAGTTGACTAGCGTTTTCTTATGGATAAATCTTGTCAAAGTTTCGTATCGGTGACCCAAGTGGCGACTCGCACAATGGTCAGACACGTTTCAGGTATGCGGCAGTAATAACGAAGGAGGCGTCATAAACCGGGATCGAAAACGTGATTAGTGCAGCGAGCCGTAATTAAAAGCGCCGAAGCTGCTGCTAGCAGAAGCGCCAGTCTGTTAGTATCGTGTTGTTACCACCCAGCGCTGGATTGTGGCCATCTGATATCGGCCAAAAGAGATAGTAGTTTTCGGAGAAAGTGGGACATTAGTAGTGGCTGAACGGTCATGGGCTTTTGGGCCTATTTATGCGATAGTATGCGAGGCTCATAAACGAGAGCTGCATCTGTCCTACTCGTAGAAAACGTTATCCTTGCATCAGCTCGTCTTTATTATAGCTAACCGTCATATTAAGACATGATCAGAAAGCTTGTTGAGCCGGATTGGGTTGACAGAAGAAAACAGATAAACATTTCAGTGGTCATCGTTGGCCAAGTAAAATCGACGAGCAGGAATCGTACGGAATGGACTTTCATCCGCTGCCATCCTATCCGCAGGACGTAACACTAGAGGAGTCAACGCAGTCAGGGCCAAATGAGTGATGGCAGCCAGCCTAAAGGCAACGTTCCTATCTAGACGACCAGACAAGCAAGCTAGCTATATATCTTCATAAAAACGCTCGCTAGAATATACGTATACCCAAACAAAAGTTGCTGTGTGCGAAAGCATCATATATCTGCAAGTATACTCACACATACGATTAAAGCAGGGCAAAAGAGGAAAGTTCTAAAGAATAAGAAGCGGTAAGTTACACGATGATATGGATCGAGAGAGTAGTGCAAATACCGTGGACTACGCCAGTATTTGGACCCAAATAAATAGCACCCATCGGCGCAACCTTAATGACACAATAATTTAATAACCAAGCAACCAATATTACCAGAGCAAACTGTAAGAAAGCTTTTGATCATAGAAAAATGAAGGATTAGGTACACTCACCTTCCACCTTTCCATTCTCTGTTGTGAAGAACTCAACGTGAGCCTGCTTCAAGAGGAAGATTCGGAAAGAAAGAAAAAGTTCCAAGGAGAGTGTGCAGAGTTTGGGATGTCCTTTATGCAGCAGTCATTGTTACCAGTGAAAGAAGCAGCACTTCCGTAGTCTTAAAGGCTCACGTACATGGCCTTACAAGGTGTACCTCTTCTGCCCCAAAAACCCTTAGCTGACATCGATGGATGACGCTGCACCGCCATCCATTGAACATCTGTTTCGACAGCACGGACCGGCTTGAGATAACTGTTGTAAAAACACGACTTCCGCGTTGGTGAGAACCGTCGCGGTTACATACTGCCAGAAACCTTCGGCACACGTCGATAAGCAAAATGGAGCGGCGCGTGGTCGGTATGGAAAATCGCCGTCGGAAACTGCTGCTGAAGCCCACGATAAGTACATAGACCTCTTTCAAAGGCAGTATTATTGTTGTCAAAAATATTGAAAAGCCGATCGGGATAACTGCACGAGTTCGGCAGTGATGAGAAAAAGGCGTGATATCGATTATAATTAACGGTAGAGGATGATCTTAGATTAATACCGCTTGTGTATAGTAGTTTCAGTAACACCAACTGATAACCATACTATAAGTTATACAGTCAACGAAGTTGTTTCGGCTCGCATCTTATTATAGTATATGTATGTAAATTTATGCTGCTAAAAGTTGCCTCAGTAACACTCTCATAAATGCGATGTAGAAAATAGGCATGCGTATCAGGGCGAGTACTTTTCATGTGAACCTAGACAAAAACAGAATATCAGAACCTTCCCGTGTAGTACTGCGAAAAAGTACCAGGGACAGTATTCTCTAACGATATATTTTCGGAGTTATTAAGGGAATGATATGGAGAAGCTGTCTTGATTCGAGTGGCTTACATATACAAGGGCGAGAAATGCCACGCAAAAAGTGTGATCCGAAGCAAAGGGAGAGGAACCGCTCAGCGTAGGATTATTATGATACGGAGGACGCAGTATATCGAAGCCCGTTCAATATCAGATGAATTAAGATCTCCTAGCATAGCTTTGTATTGTAAAATGTATTCAAATATAAACGATTACGAATTGGACAGCTCACGCGGTACGTCGAACGAAACACACATAGTGGAAAAATCCCTATGCGAAGAAGACCTCGTTGACTATAGGCTTTGCTCAGCGGATCTTGTACAATCAGCAATCTCGACAATGTTAGAACTAACGGAATTTTCCGATCACAGTTGTAAAATTCGTCCCTCTCTCCTTCTCCCTTTCCCTCTTCCTCTCTCTCTCTCTCTCTCTCTATATATATATATATATATATATATATATATATATATATATATATATGCGCCATGTTGTCGTGTAGACAACAAACGCTAAACTAGACGTTGTTGTCTACATAAAGGACAAGGCTAAAGAATGCATTTGGGTTTCCCGGACTAGAGTGTAAAGAGGTCAATGGACTTTCTAATATACATTGACGGCTGTTTACACCTTCATCGGCGCCTCCAGAATTCCTATTCATAGAACTTATATTCAGTCTATTGATTAAAAGGGAGAAGAAAATGTTTATTGTATTTGATTTCAGAAACGCGTTTTCTGAGGGCTCTTTCTGATAGCAGTAACTTTCGAAGACCAAGAATAAACTTTACAACATACAATGCGTGCATCAAGATGATTATAATTACCCTTACTGCTAATCAGGAGCGCACCTTGAGCGCGCAGAACTAGCTGGAGCTTTCAAGGGCAACCGACGACTCATCTCCCACGGGCTTTCATTTCAAAGTGCTCTCTTGCAATCATTCACAAAACAAACATAAAATAATTTTAAGTTCTCTTCAAAAGCAATATATCAACAGTCGCCTGATTATTCGCTTCAACCAAATATCGTACTTTGTTTATCTTGCGTCACTGACGGTTCGCATTAAACTGGGACAAATTGTTCGACCTTAATGCTGTATGGAGGGTTAATTTAAGTGTTTATCGAGAGTTTACCTACCTCTAATATTGGCTGATAGCATTGAATTTATTAAATGGCCCTTGACAAAAAGAAATGTGGGGAACAGCTAGAAGAGGCCCGAACAATCAATCGCAATGGGTCAGGAGGTTGGGCCATCCAGAGGCTCACCCACTGTTTCAATGTGAAGCAGACATTCGTCAGTCGAAGCTTCGATTAGCTTGCTGCCCATAAGCGCAACTTACTCGACTTGACGTATTAAACGCCGGCGAACGCTGCAGCGTTTTGCCGCTACTGGTTTTGTGGAAAATAATCGGTAGAACGACGTAATGGGTTTCGACGAAGGGTGGAGAGGGAAATGCGATCGAATTTTGGGCGTAGCTACAGGCTAAGCATATTGTAGCGTAAGGTAGTAATGGTATCGCTGTGAATGATTAGGGCCAGCCAATAGCTACCCCTTTGATCATGCAATGGCGGGTGAGGAATTAATTGCAACAATCGGCAGAAATCTCACGTACAGGGGCAAGTTCTATTGAAATAACAAGGCGCAGCGCCAAACGCCTAAACGTTGCTGGTCATAGTTTCGAGGAGATATGTTGTATTGGCATAGAGGAGAGTCAGCGCAAGTTGTTGACTCACTGCTCTGGTGTCGAAGTAATTGTCTTTTTTTAGTATAACAATAACGCGATTGATATTTATCTGGATCACTTTTAGCGGTACGTTTCTTGTTTTCTGTAGAAGGCTTGCCTGACCAGTGTGTATCTACTTGTGCTTTTTCCTTGTGTAACCAACAAATGTGTTTGGACTTTAAAATATTATTCGTGGCCTTTCTGAAAGCACTGGAAACGTATTCCACTCACCCGTCGTTTTCTAGATCCGTCACGTCAAAGCTGTGTATTTATTTAGGAGAATTTAACTCACCATCATTCCGGTGCTATATGACCATACAGCAAGGCCGCTCCCACTTCTACCTTCGCCGAGGTATCTACACGCAGGTAAGCATTTCGCAGAGCGCATTATACGTACATGAGTTCGAATAACACATTGATGCATTGGACATAGAAAGGCCGGATTCGTGTGGGCCGGCTCAGACTTGGTCTCGCCGGGACTACTGTTTGCCAGTTTCAATTATTTTTATCTGCTCTATTTAGAATCGGTCCGGACCTTCGTTAAATACTATATAATGGTTATAATGTTATATAACAGGCGGTTGACGGAACTTCACGTGCATTACGTTTGCGCGGTTCAGAGTGAAGTCCGAGTGAAGTACGTCACTGGCATCTATGTCCTATACAGAAGTAAAAACTGTGTATATCACGAAGAGTGTTATGGGTATAGGTGTCTAAACGATGTATCCGACTGTTTATGAGAAGCATGACGGTATACTACTTTCAAATGTACGAAGAGAACGTAACAAGGACTTCTTTCCAATAAGATTTGCTTTCAATTATAGCAATTATAGCATGCACACATATATAGATGTGATGCAAAGCATCCAATAATAATATTGGTAATGCAATAGTGAAACTAAAGTAGACTTGCAGAACAGTACCAGCCTCTCTTACACGGCCCCCGCGAACAATTAACTAACAACAAAACATATGTCGGGACATTCTTTTTTGATGACGGGACGATCATAACGCTTTCAACAACCTCTCTATCGTACTCGTTTTTTCCATATACCGCAAATTGAACCGTCGATTGCATAGAGCTTCAACAGTGACTCGCACAGTATAGAAAACGTGTTGAAAGTACATCACTTTACCTTATCGAAGAAGACTGTGTGAATCTATCCGTGGTGCTATGAAACAGGTCAAGCTGCTTAGCAATAATCCTTCGCTCGGAAGGTAACAATGACCATTATGGCGCCTGGAGGTCCTGGAGTCTGTTTGTACTGAGAACATACTGAGAACATATTTCATTTCATTGCGACTGGTATTACTTAATTGTTGTCTTTGTAATTATGCTTGTTAGGCTACAACATCAAAATTAGCTCCTATATTTGGAAGAAGATCGAAAAAACTCATTGTCTCGGCCTGGCCAGCTGAACATTGTGCCGGACTCAACTTGGCTTCAAAGTCCTTAACTAGTCTGTTTCAGTTTACCGCGCAGATGAATTTGGTCAGCGTAAATATCATCATACTCCCCATCAGTAACGTATTCGTAGGTGATTTCCATAGTGCCACGGGCATTACTGCTCGTCATGTTGGAAATGGCGTCACTGAGGAGTTTCGACCCCTTAAAGGCACAGAACAGTTATCTTGCCACAGAGCCTATGCCATACGCATTTTCCCTTGAGAGAAAGAAAGCGCAATGCAATTAACATAAAAATCAATCCAAATACTTCATCCATTACTTACTCCGTCTTAGTCACAATCAGTGTTGAGGCTTGCAGCTATTCCCGATCCGCTGACATACACATTACCAACCTACCTCCGTTCCGTCCTTTCGGTACTTTCTGTCGTAATCTTTTTTTTATGCAACTTCAAATTAAATTTCAAAGCGCTCAATAGTTTCCCAAAATATAGTCCTGTTGTTGTGACTTTTCTCAGAAAATACTTCCTTCTCCAAAAAGACCTATCCTTCACTAGTTGCTTGCAGTTTGTACTATCGCTACTTTCTATCGAGGCGCCACAAGGATCGTATGTATAAGTGAGCCGTTCATTACGTTAGTTCGAACCAAGGCGTTCTGCATATCTACTCGAAGAACCGGTCACAGCAGTAGCCTTAGAACTATATCAGCTTGCTACCGTGCCTAGCGCGACACACACGAAATTGCGTCAATGCTGACTTATGCTTCTGTGGTGATCTCTGTTATGATAAAGGCGAGATCGTCCTACAAGCCAATGTTGACGTCTTTCCTCGTCCGGCCGATGTTTTTGTGCCAGTAACCAATCGCTGCCCTGTTCCAGCTAGCGCTAGCGCATCTCCGAACATCTTTGTGTATGGCTGTAGGCAGGGTTTCCGCCCAAACTACATCCGAACAGGTAGCGGCACCCCGAGACGTACGTACTGACAGCTGCGTACGTTGCTATTGTGAACAAGGCTATTCGTGTTGAACTTA